AAAATAAAGAAAAAACAATAAATTCCATCTAAACCATTTAATATTAACTACAAACTAATGCACTTTCAAATTTTTAATATCAATATGTTATCAAGTCTCTAATAATTTTGGGACAGTTATACAATTAGACTACTTTTTAGATCTTAATTACATAAATATCTAAAATCTATAAAAATTGATAATTTTGTCAATAGTTGTGCCCGTTGGTCCTGTTGGTTGAGAAGCCAAATTTTAAATTATTAAACTACCATGTAATATACCTTTTTATAAACAAATTAAAAAAAATCAAAGTAGTGGCAGAAATCTTGGTTTCCATCCAAAAAAAACCTATCAACTTTCTTTAATAAAATTTATTTGATTTATGGCCAAAGAGTTCTCAACCCTATTTTACAAAATCACACCAAGCTAACAATTGATTCCCCGTCCAAAAAAGACACAGAGAAGAAAGAGCCTTTGTCAAGCAAAACTATAGTTCTTAACGATTTTTAGACGATTATTCACTGCCTTTAATGAAAATCTCCTGTTCTTAATATGTTTGCTACTGACTATTCATTACCGCCAATGAAAAGATCTAATTTCTAGTGATTTCCCGCGGTTAAAGAGAATATCCTATTTACTGTCGCATGACAACCTCCAGTTTTTAGCTATTTTTTTTAGCGATTATTCACTGCTGGATCTCCTTTTTCAGTGGTCTTTGAACGATTATTCACTGCCATCGACAAAAAGCTCCATACTTTAGCTTTTTATGTCTTAATTTTTAATTTTTTTCGAACAATCATTCATCGCTACACCCGATGAAAAACTAAGCAATCTTTCCAATATCTTAGATTGTTCACCGGCGTTTCTTCATCAGAGACGAGAAGGAACTCACCTGATTTTTTTGCGCGATTTCTTCGACATTTTGTTTGATTTTGGCAGCCATTCAGTGGGAGATTTCAAATTATAATAAATGTATATATTATATAACCGTATATACAAATAAGAAATATATATTATACGACCTACTTGATGGGTATATATTTATCATACTTTAGACTAAAGTTGAAGGTATATAACTTTTCTTTTTTTGAAATCCAAAAGGAAAAAAAAAAAAAACTTCATTAAAAAAACCTTACCATTTGGGCAACTGAAGCACCAAATGGACCATAGTGAAACAAAATCCAATAAGGAAAATTGGAGTTCCAAAGAAATTAAGCTTGGTAAACAACGCATATTTCACCAAACAGTTGGCCACTGTATTTTGATCTCTGTGCACATGGCTGAAAGTAACTTTCCCCAAACTCCTTTGAAGCCTACGAATGTCGGCAACCAAAACCTCCGTCTCTCCCAAAACTTCCATGTGTGTAGAAAGAAGCTTCATGGCTTCAAGACAATCAGACTTCATGCAAATCTAATGGAACCCCAACCAGAGAGGAAGGCGGGGAGCCTCCTTAATGGCCACCAATTCTGCATGCAAAGGTGAGAATCCGACATCCACAAATTGGGACAGTGCAAAAATGATGTTCAGATCTTTATCTTGAAATAAAGCTCATACTCTTGTTTAAAGAAGCCCTGGATTGCAAGAAGTATCAGTACAAATGTAGATCCACTCTACATTGGGTAACTCATGTGAGCTTTGAAGAGGCTGAAGATCCGGCGAATCCATGGATCGCTGATTTAATCGTAGTCCATTCACAAACTAAAAGTCTGCCGGGTACTTCAAAATTTATTCACATTTCCCTGGGATATCAAGCACTGAATTATGATTACACCTACTGTTTCGCCACTAATTCCAGATCTTAATGCATTTGGGACTTGGATAAGTGAAGCCAAGCATCCACAAAATTTCCATGGGAGCAGGACTCGACCCGCATCGTAGGTACACACATTCTAGATCCCAATGGTTTGAGTACATTGGAATAGTGCATGACAAACATCCTCCACTTTTTCAGTTGCAAATTGGGCAAAAAGGGGGAATATCAATCCCTTTTTTGCCCAATTTCTCCCTCGTAGGTAGACAATTACGTATAGTCCTCCATAAAAAATGGTTGATTTTTATAGGAATGTTTAACTTCCATAGCTTCTTCCACGTATGACAATCTAAATTACTGCTAGGAGATCCTATTGTTAGCTTTTTGAGCATGAATGCCTTATATCCGCTCTTACCACGGTAAATGCCACTTTTATCATAGTGTCACATCCAACTATCTTGTCTAACTCATCTGCTAATAGGAATTTGCTTGATTAGTGGGATATCATATTGAATAAACATAGCCTGAAGCAAATCCTCATTTCATCTCCCTTCAACCATAAGTTCACTCACCAATAGGTATCTATTAGAATGGGAGGAGGGAGGGATAAAGACTTGAAAGTCCTAGCATGAAGTAACTAAGGATCATAAAAAACACGAATGGTTCGACCATCTCCTATTCGTTTTCTCAAACCATACTGTAAAAGTTCTCAACCCCATAAAAAACAATTCCAAAAATAAGAAGAATTCTTATCAAGAGAAATTTCAATAAAGTGTGTATGTTATATAACACATCGAACAAAAAACTATATATTATATAACTTAATAATTAGTATATACCACTAAAAAATATATGTTAACATATTGGGTGGGTATATTATTGTCATACTATAGGTTAATTTAAAAAGTATATTTTAAATAACCTAATAATTGAGTATATACCAATAAAAGGTATATATTATATAATATTTTGGATGAGTATATATTTATCATACTGTAAATTATATTAGAGTAGAAATTATATTATATTAATGTCACTGGAATTTTCAACTGTCGAAAAACTAATGGATCTCTGGAAAAAATTAGATCCACGTAAGAACGATTGAGTCGTTGTTATGAGTTTGAGAAACTTAATAACGGCGGGAAGTAAAAAAATAAAAACCATCAGAAAAATAATATAATAGTGAACCAATGTAAAAGCCATCGGATGTTTGAAAAAAATAAGTATAGTTTGAGAAACTTAATAACGGCGGGAAGTAAAAAAAAAACATCAGAAAAATAGTATAATAGTGAACCAATGTAAAATCATCAGTTGTTTTAAAAAAATAAGTATAAAATCATCTAAAATAGAGCAATAGTAAATTGTGAGAAAAATAAGAACTTAAAAAATGTGATGAAAATTTTTGTCATCTGTGGTGATTATATACACTAAAATGGAAAGAAATGAAAATGGTAAGAAATTATTTACAAAATATAATTAAAATATAAGGAATATTCCATGGCCGTAAAAGAGAGGAAAGAAAATGGAAATAAAACATTTTTTAAATAAAAAATATATATGTGTCTAAAAGTCAATTCAATGTCACTCATATTTGATAGGCTCGAGAAAAGAAGAAACAAACGTGGAGTATGATTTTAAAATGTATGTATATATGTATGTAAGTATATGTATATGTATATGTATGTATGCACCTATGTGTGTGTATATATATATACGCGCATTTGGTTGGATTTGAGATTTAGCTTATTATTTACAAACCGAAACTTAACTAAAGCATTCAATTTTTGAAAGTTAGTAAACCAAATTGATCCGACATCTTAATTAACCAAATTGAACTCTTCCAAAAATAAGAAGAATTCTTATCTAGAGAAATGTCAATAAAATGTGTATGTTATATAACACATCGTACAAATAACATGAATAAATTGAGCCATTTGAGATACTTTCCCCTCATTTTAGTAACACTATAAAAAATGAGCTTCAAGGATGGAATATTTTTGTCATGGAAGGCATATACAACAAAAATGTTTTAATCTCAAGACCAGTCCGAGTGGAGTTTCCAAAGGATTTCAGCCATGAAAACTAAGGGATCGCATAACTCATCGACAAAATCATGTTTCTTTGATGAAGCGAGGAATATTAATTTCGTTGCTTTGATACTTTTGCCACAATTTTTTGTCGTAGTTTACGTTCTTTTTCCCCTTTTTTGTATTGTGACATTATACAATTTCATTGTTAAATATAACATTCGTCGTTAAATTAAAAAAAAAAAACCATTATGTTCAATCGTACATAAATAATTGTATGTGATGAAAATCATAATACATAATACAACAAATACAAAACATGTTAAAACAAAATAAAACATAAGACACCGTTATTAAACATACTTAACATTAAAAAAAATATAAGCTCGAACAACAAACTTAACATTCTAAAGTTCATTCATGAAAGATAATCATAATTCTCAAGCTCCAACATCAAACTCCAACAAACTCCGAAACAAACTTGACATTCAAAAAATTTCAAGCTCCAAGAATTACCATTCTATTATTTGTTTTGGGCTCAAACACAAGACACGTTCAAAAGCTCCAATAACAAACATAAGACAAGTTCCAAAGTACAATCTTCAACAACAAATTTTATGGAAGACAAAACGTATTTTTGAAGATGCAACAACAAACTTCACATGGAAGAAACAAAACAAAGTTCCAACAACGAACTCCATAACAACTCCACATCCAAATGTTAGTTTAAACTCCAACAACAAAATTTTCATTAAAAAATTCACATTTAAGTTCTATAGATCAAAAACATAAGGCATGATAATCAAAGCTCCAACAACAAAGTCTAAAACAAAATTCAGATTCGGCACCAACCCCACGTCAAAATGTATTATATATCATACTTAATGCACCCTTCATCCCACCCACCACCCCACCCACCACCCCACGCACACTTCACCCCTCAAATTACAACATCAAAGCTTCAAACTCCACAAACAATATTAAAGAAAAACATAAAGTACATTCAAAAGCTTAAGCTCCAAAAGCAAACATAAGACAGGTTCAAAATTTCAACCTCCGGCAACGAACTTCGCATTCATGAGAGCCAAAAACATATTTCTCAAGCTCCAACAATAAACTTTACATGGAACACAAAAACATAATTTTGGAACTCCAACAACAAACTCTGTAACAAACTCCACATCCAAATGTTTCAAACTCCAACAACAAACACAAACTCTATAACAAACTCCACATCACGAGCTCCAACAACAAACTCTATAACTAACTCCACATCCAAATGTTTCAAACTCCAACAACAAACATAAGACGTATGAGGAACAAAAATCAAAAGCTCCAACAACAAAGTCTAAATCAAATTTCACATTAGTCACCGTCCCTCTCAATGGGCTCAAGCTCCGATAACAATATTAAAGAAGGAAATTTAGCAACATTCATATTCAATAACATATTACACAAACTTAAATATAAAGAAATTCAAAATTTTGGTACCTCACTCAGTGATGAACTTCCTCCTCCTCTAGCAAATCTCTAAAGAATTTCTTCCATCTTGTCAAACCTTCTCTCGTATTCCTGGCATTACATATCCAATAACTCTTGCATCTTTATGTCATATGCTCGTTTGATTGTCGTTCAGCTGCCAAACGTTGTGGCTCTAATAACTTTTGTCGTTGACTCTGTAATAATTCTTTTGTTTTGCAAGTCGAGCCTCCAAGGTCTAAACATACTCTTGGGAGCATCCTATCGCCCATTTTTCGTACCTTACTCAGTGATAAAATTCCTCTTTCAATAAATCCCTTGCATTCTTGCCAAACCGTCTCTTTTATTCCTAGCGTTGCATATCCAGTAACTCTTGCATCCTTGCCACTTGCTCAAGCATTGTACCTCTAATAATTCCTGTCGTTGACTATGTAATAATACTTATGTTTTTGCAAGTCGAGCTTCCAAGGTTTGAACGTACTCTTGGGAGCATCCTACCGTCTCTTTTTTGGTACCTTACTCAGTGATGAACTTCCTCTCCTCTAGTAAATCTTTGAAGAATTTCTTCTATATATTCAAATATTCTCTCATATTCTTGGCATTGCATATCCAATAAATATGGCATCCTTGTCATCTGCTCATTTGATTGTCGTTCAGCCGCCAAATGTTGTGGCTGTAATAATTTATGTCGTTGACTCTGTAGTAATTCTTAAGTTTTTGCAAGCCGAGCTTCCAAAGTCTGAACATACTCTGCCACATCTTTCTTACTTCGTGGTCTCGGACCAGATCTCAACCATCTCTTTTTTACTTTATGGTCTCGGACCAGATCTCATCCCATTCTTGTTGGGTAAAACAACTCAAAAGGACTCGAATACGCCTTGTCTTCTTTTTCTATTCCAATAGATTATTTAATAAAATGAGATTTAAAACATATAATATACTACCACAAAGCACGAGTTTATACCTTGTCTTATCGATGAGATAGAAATGATTTTGGTCCAGTAAAATGATTGAATGAGAACGTTTACTCCTTCTTACTTTCTTTTTTGAAGACTTTGCCTACAGAAACAACATATATATATTCAGTCAAGTTTTTTTAACCAAAACGACACCATTTATATTTGGCGACAAACATGAGTTTCGTTGCAAAAAAAAACAAGACGGTGTCATTTGGTGCTTGATATTGCGAAAAATGTTCCTTTCCGTCGCCTTTTTTGCGACGACAGAGAATTTTGTCGCTTCTCTAAGCGACGGACTATTAATTTATCGCTTCATTAGCAATGAAAATCAATTAACAAACTCAGTCTATGATACTTACGTGACAGAGGAGCACCCACGAAATTAACTTTTTCGAGTTCAATATTTCTTTGTCGAAGAGCATCCACTGCATTGTTATAGAGGCATAAACATAATTTGTTTGTGGCTTATTCCTCTTTTTCATTTCAACTACAAGATTGCCAGATACGCAATTTATTTAATAACGAGTATAAAAGATACACTAAACAAAGATATTCCCCACAAAAACTATAAAAAAAATAAATCAATAATAAACACGTATATTCTCCACACAAACAAAAACAAAATAATTCAATAATATTTCCACGTAACTAAAGAAAAAGCATCAAGATTATATAGAAAATTATAAAAGAAAATGTAAGACAACATCGTATTATAAAAACACTGTCCACAATTAAAAGAAATCGTCAAGAACAACATAAACAGAGGGAGTAGCATGGAAATAATCAATGGCATTAGAGGAAAATAATTGACGAATATTATATATATGTTAACTAAACTAAAGCAAAGTGAAATAATAAAATAAACCACAAATATCCAACAGAAATTATGCAAATAATATTAAATCCCAACATGTCTATCTGAACTCAAACCATCAAAAAAAATTATGAAAAAAAAATGAAGATAAAAATAACATATGGTTTTCTTTCGCAATATATAGTTTGTTCCAAAAACCAAAACAGAGATTGAAAAGAAATCAGAGAAGCAACAGAGGAAGCGTAAAAATAAGCAATCCAATTACAGGAAGAAATCACCTGAAGGCTGAGGTTTTTGAGGGAGTGAGAGGTTATTGTTTTTTAGGGAGTGCATGGAGGCTAGAAAGTAGTGAAATTGATTGTGATGTTAGTGAAAAAGTTATCATTGCCCGTGATTTCTATACAGTTGCGACTTCAATTTGATGTGACCTTTAAAAGCCACGTGTTAGAGATGAAAATCACATGCATTGGTTACCATTTTGGTTCAACTTATCAGAAACACGTGTATCTTTTTGTAGTTTATTTTAAAGTATAAAAAACATTATAAAATAATAAATTAGTTAAAATTATAATTTAATTAGCTTTTTATTTTTGTGGTTTCTAAAGGTTGAACAGAGACGACGCATTCGATGGAGAAAGGGATTGACGGAGAGAGTTGAGGGAGTGAGGTTTTTGTTTTAGAGGGAGAACATGCCTTTTGTTCTAGGGTTTTTTTTATGGTTTAATGACTCTAATACCCTCCATTTTCTCTTCTAACTACCAATACTGTCCCTCCACACCATCCCCTTGCAGACTTTTTCTTTTAAAAATAATCATATAAATAATTGAGGCTAGAAAGCAGTCAAATCGATTGTGATGTCAGTAAAAATGCTCTCATTGCCTGTGATTTCTAGACAGCTACGACATCGGTTTGATGTGACTACTAAAACACACGTGTTAGATATGAAAATCACATGCATTGCCTACCATTTTTGTTCAACGTGTGAGAAACACGTGAGGATGGACGTGAAATTTGTAGTTTATTTTAAAGTATAAAAACATATTAGAAAATAATAAATTAGTTAAAACTATAAATTAATTAGTTTTTTTTTAAATTATATAAATAACAAAGGCTAGAAAACAGTAAAATTGGTTGTGATGTCAGTGAAAATGCTGTTATTGTCCCTGATTTCTATACAGCTACGACATCAGTTTGATGTGAGTACTAAAAGACACGTGTTAGATACGAAAATCACATGTATTGACTACGATTTTGGCTCAATTTGTGAGAAACACGTGGATGCACGTGAAATTTGTAGTTTATTTTAAAATATAAAAAAAAAATATTAGAAAATAATAAATTAGTAAAAATTATAATTTAATTAGCTTTTTAAAAATAATTATATAAATAATAAATGCTAGAAAGCAGTGAAATTGATTGTGATGTCAGTGGAAATGCTGTCATTGCCCATGATTTTTAGACAGCTGCCACATCAGTTTGATGTGAATTCCAAAAACCAGGTGTTAGGGATGAAAATAGCATGCATTGGTTGTGATTTTGGTTGGATATATATCCTTTCTTTACTAGCCATAAAACCCACTTCTCGGTGCAGTGGTTCGCTAAAGTATAGCCCCAATTATTTTTATTTATATTTTTTACTAATTTGGAAAAAAAAAGAAAATTATATAAATAAATTCACACTAACCTCGATTCTAAAATTGAAACTTACTTTTCATTAATACTTCAAACTTTTTTAAAAAGAAAAAAATTAATAGAATTCATGATTCTATATTATTTTTTATAGAAATAATTACAAAATTTATTAATACAAAATATGTCAATTATAAAAATATAAAAAAGAAAATACCGTGAAATATTCCAATTATAAGCTTTTAAAATAACTTTATTCTCTGTCATTTTAAATGGTACAACTACCACCTACTCTTTTGAACCTAAAATAGATTTGTGGTCTTCTTGATCTAATTATTGTTGGAAACTTTAAGTATTTCAATTTTTAATTTTTAATTTTTACGTTGTCATTACATATATGTGATATATTTCTATAATTTATTCTATTGATATAATTTTACTCATATTTTTAAAATTATATATATTTCTATAAAAAAAATTATATGACATTTATTAAAAAGAGTTCTATGATATAAACTTAATTGATATATTTTGTTAAAAAAAAAAAAACTCAACTAGATATAAAAGTTAAAAAAATTTTGTTTTAATTGAAATTTGTTTTAAAAAGAAAAATTAAATAAAAATATATGTAATCTATATTTATATTTATACTATATTAAAATGGAAGGATTTCAAAAAAACATTTTTAGCACATAATACCCTTCTTAGTTTTAAATACATTACATAAATGTCCTTTTTTATAATAATTAACAATGGAATACACTTAAAAATTGGTTAAAAATACACTTAAAATTATTAATTAATTATTTCATAACAACCACCATTTTAATTATGTAGAAGTCTCTTAGAAACCTTTCATTGAAATGTTCAAAGAAAAATCAAATGGAAGGATTTGATAATAATTAACAATTGAATATGCTACGGTTTATTGAAATGTTCAAAGAAGAATCGGAGCCCATAATACCCTTCTTAATTTTAAGTAAATGGCATAAATATCCTTTTTTTTATAATAATTAACAATGTTATACACTTAAAAATTTGTTAAAAAGGAGAATACACTTAAAATTATTAATTAATTATTTCATAACAACCACCATTTTAATTATGTAGAAGTCCGTTAGAAACGTTCCATTGAAATGTTGAAAGAAAAATCAAATGGAAGGATTTGATAATAATTAACAATTGAATATACTACGGTTTATTGAAATGTTCATAGAAGAATCGGAGCAATAAATGTCATTTTCTAGTAACAAATTCAGTTACAAAAAAATATTATCTTGATTACCACATTGTAACAACTGTGACGGAAAACTATTCAAATTCTTAGTGGAGTATATAAATATAACTGTTATGTATTGAGCAATAAGGTTGGACTACATTAGGAAGGATATCCAGAACCATCGACAAGCAGAGTCGGCCCAACCTTTCAGGAAGGACAACCGCGTACATCGACAAGCGGAGCCGGCCCAAGGCACGGAGGCCAGCCCACCAAAGGGCCGACCCCACGTTGGCGTCGAGGCGTCGACCCTTTCTCGACGTCGATCCCTTCTGTCCTCGACGCTGTCCTCTTCCCTTTTGGTCTCTGTTTCAAGCGTATGACGTTCAGGCCCCAAAGCCGAGCCTTGTACCCGTTCTTCTACCGACGCTGGAGGTATCCCAGCCCAAAGCCCAAAAATTTCAAACCTAGGGTTAACGTCCTGAGGAACCCTAAGGGGGCAGAACGACAATAAAAAGAGAGGGGGGTCACCCCTTCAAGGTAAGCCAAGACCACACTTTCAAGCCCTAGAGACAATCATCGAGAAGAAGATCACTGACTTTATTTGGAGAAGCATAATTTGCCGCTTTGGGATACCATACACCATTATGAGTGATAATGGAAAACAATTCGACAATGCAGCTTTTCGGGACTTCTGTCGAGAATTAGGTATCCAGCACATCTGCTCTTCGCCAGCACACCCACAAGCTAACGGCCAGGTCGAAGCAGTTAACAAAGTCATCAAAAGAACTCTAAAAACGAGACTAGAGAAGCTTAAGGGGCAGTTGGCGGAAGAACTTCCCAGTGCACTATGGGCCTGCAGAACAACACCCTGCACATCAACTGGTGAAACACCATTTTCATTAACGTTTGGTTCTGAGGCAGTAATGTCAGTGGAAATTGGACTTCCTTCCCCAAGGGTAGAACGATTCAGTCTACTTGAAAACGACAAGTTTATGCAACTTAACCTCGATCTACTGGAAGAACATCGAGACGTAGCACGACTACGAACGGCCGAATACAAAAATCGGATCGCTCGGTATTACTACTCAAAAGTCAAGAAGCATAGCTTCAGAGAAGGCGACTTGGTTTTAAGGAAAGTCATGCCTAATACCAAAGACCCGACCAGCGGAGTTCTCGGACCTACATGGGAGGGCCCGCACAAGGTCACCAAAGTGGTTCGAATAGGCACCTACGCCTTGGAAGATTCACATGAAAAAATCATACCTCATCCATGGCATGCACAACATCTCAAGAAATACTACCACTATATTGGTGACTCATTCCATTTATTTTATGAGTGACTGTTGCACTTGTTTATGTCAAAACAACTGATTATTTTATTATATTAGAACAATTTTTGTTTGAATGAAAGTTTGCGCCATTTAACATGATACTTGAGCTCTTATGCTTATGTGAAAACAACTTTCTCAAGTAGGGGGCATTGTGCCTAAATGTCTATACCGGTTAAGAAACTCGAGAGGGGACAAACCCAGAAGCAAGCCAGAAAAGGCTCACTATGGTCAAAACAAAAGCAGGCTGACAAGGTCAGGATGTAAAACCATTTAGCGAGTGCCAAACAGGTTGGAAAATCCAAAACCTTCAACACTAGCTCTGCTAAAGTTAGATCCCAAGGCCTTGGAGACTTGATCACAACCAAGCAATTCGACAAAACATGAAAATTGGAAAGACTTCCAATTCATGAGACAACTTGGTGTTGGTATACAACTAATAACACAAACCAGGCTTTTAAATCCGAAAGCTAGATATAAAAGTTTTTGTATAACTCAGTAAATTAAGAACCTTGGCGTTTGCTAAGAATTCGGTACTAATGATGCATATGAATTACTTTGCAAAACAAGCCTCGTAGCAACCACGGATAACAAATACTCTCAAAACATGAATCTATCGTGGTCACAAATTTCATATTCAGTTTTGAGAGTAGGGGCTACTGTTATGTATGGAGCAATACAGTTGGACTACATCAAGAAGCACAATCGGGACCATCGACAAGCAGAGCCGGCCTAAGGCATGCAGGCCGGCCCACAAAAGGGCCGACCCCTTCTCGGCGCCGATCCCTTCGATCCTCGACGCTGTCCTTTTCCCTTTTGGTCCCTGTTTCAAGCGTATGATGTTCGGGCCCCAAGGCTGAGCCCTGTACCCGTTCCTGTACCGACGCTGGAGGTATCCCGACCTAAAGCCCACAAATGTCAAACCTAGGGTTGATGTCCTGAGAAACCCTAGGGGGCAGAACGACTATAAATAGAGAGGGGGTCACCCCTTCAAGGTAAGCCAAGACCTACACTTTCAAGTCTCTTACTTGTTTGAGTAATCTCTCATTTTGCTAACTTAAGCATCGGAGCCAGTGTGACTAAAGTCACACCGGGT